TGACTCGATCTTATACATGCGTGCACTCCGCACAACCCCGTACATATATTAGAGTACAAATCATGAAGCCCCCTTAGCTCACATGTTAGTTCCAGTTACTTAAAATGACATGGTGACACTAAAATCACCAACAATTATTACATGTTATTTGGTGTTGCCCATTTCCATATTTGGTGTTATAACACCTATTTATGATTAGGATGATGATGTGACACCTTTTGGGTGTGGTAACATGTAATAACATGTTGCCCACACCCAGTAGCTTTATTGAAAATATATAAAAATGTATTTTAAAAAGAAAAAGGGCAGTATTGTAGAAAAAGAGAGCACACGACTTTCGCATGGTGACTTTTGTCAATCTACTGGAACGATGTTTACGGAACTTGTTAACAATTTCTTAAGTTCTCTTCAATGGATTTCTTTTAATTCTATTGTTGACTTTACTTTGCTCTTATATTTTCTTTCTTTTCGTGCATTTATTTTGCACAACAAGGCCATTTTTTGATATGCGTATTGATAAATTTTAGTAATATCATATTATGTACGTATTTACGTAATATGGCAATAGTTAAAGATTAGACTAATTACTTTATACCATAAAGTGCTATATGAGTAAATGATATTTAAAATATATTTACTAAAATGACACATACTTAAAAAAAATGGAAAAAATGATAAATGATGGCAAAAAAAAAATAATAATAATAAAAAAGTGAAAAGCCTTTTTTTTTTCCTCGATGTCGACGTTTTGGTCAACATTAACGAAGGAGTGTTTGGATAGAAAAAAAAATAACTGCTTATTGCTGAGTTGAAGTGTTTGGATAAGAAGCTTAAAAATCAGCTTATTATGGTAGGAATAAGTTAAATAAGCTGATTTTAATAAGCAATGGAGGAATGCTTATTGCTTATTTTGGTATGAATAAGTTAAATAAGCTAATCCAAACACTTTTTAAAAACTGCTTATTCCCACCGCAATAAGCTAATAAACTAACAAGCTAAAAACATATTTATATATAACTTAATTATAAGCAACTGACTTCATATGATAAAAGCCCCTTTTACATAATCATCTTCAAAAATACATACTTACCAAACCCTACTGAATTTGACACCAAATACAAAACAAAAGCAAAAATTGTGAAGAGTCACAAACACATAACCAAAAACTATGAGTTCTAATCTTCTTCGTGTCTCCCAACATTCAAATATGCTTTGTAATTATGGTTTTACATAACTTATGTGGACAAATTATGTTTCATCATTCTTATGGGTGCCACTTTACATACCCGCTTTGTCTGTCGCCCCTCATGGAGTCGAATTCATATTTTGAATCTTCATTATTTCTATAATAGACTTCACCATTGTCGCTCACTTCTTCCTCATAACTTGTTTCATGGTCATTTCCATTGTTGTTTGCATCATATGAGTACTTACCATTCTCTAAAAACCTTGTGTCACTCAATCCTTGTTGCCCCATCACATATCCATTATTGTTGTTGTTGTTATAACCATTGTTTTCTTCTTCCGTGTTCGTGTATCCGTTGACATTGTAGCCATTTTTCTCATTTTCAAAGCTCATATCGTTGTCGTTGTCGTTATTGTAGTTGTTCTCGCTATAGCTATCTGTCTTGTAGCCGTTGTTCTCATTAATCGAGTTTGAGTATCCATTACCATTGCTGCTAAACGTATTTTGGTTGTAGCCATTGATCTTGTTTTCAGACACCACGTAGCTATTCTCATTTTTGTTGTAGCCATCATAACCATTTTCGTTATTGTTGTAGCCATTGTTCTCATTCACCGAGCTAGAGTAGCCATTCCCATTGTTACTCGAATAACCATTATTACCATTAGAGTAACTCTCGCTACTTAGCAACTTCTCAAACGGAGTCTCCGTTTCCGATTTGAATTCATCAACACCAAAAGTCTCCTTTTTCTCCGGGGTTTCATTGGTTGAGTAGAATTCCTCCGAGGAAGACTCACTCGACCCATGACCATAAAGACCATAACCATTTTCTTCCTCAGCTGGTGCCGGTGCTGGAGCCAGTCCCGGTGCTAGGTCTGGTGCCAGGACTGACTCAATTACCGGAACCAACACCGGTGCTGGTGCCGGTGACGGTGACAACACAATTGTTGGTGCATTAGAAAAATTACGAGTGAACTTGGTGAAGAACTTGCTCTCCCTAGCATGTGGTTGGAGGGACAGAGAAATGAGAATGAGCAAGAGGAAGTGAAAAGAGAAGGTGTTAGTAATGGAGGCCATGGCACAAAAGATGTGGTTTTGGTGGCAAGATTTGAGATCCCAAAATGGTTGATTTATAAGGGTTGTAACCGAAATGAAATGCGGTGATTGAGGATGGGTGGGGCAGACTTAAAATGATGGAGTCTTGTGGCATGTGGATATAATGAGAATGTTTAAAGCAAGGGTAGGGTGGGGTTGAGTGGGGTGAGGATGCACTCAATTTACGCTACCTTGAATCATTATACTTTCTTTTAGTTTACTATAAATGACAAGTACAAAACTCTTGTACCTAATTTCAAAGAAATAGTTAATGCAATTATAGGAGACATATTTTAAACATATAGCATTACTAATATAACATTTTGGGTTACTACAAAAAGTGCAATTTGTTTTTAACAATTTACTATTTTGTTTAATAAGGTTGTCAACGATCACACGTAGTTTTTTTTTTTTTTTTTTTTTTTTTTTAAACGGCATTTATATAAAGAAAAAACAAACAAAAGGCTAGCAAGGAGCTAGTATTTTACACACAATGACAGTAAAAATAATAATTCCATTATATTAAATGGTTTAAAAATATATTAATACTGTAAATAAAAAATAAGAAATTGTAATCTTTTATGAATAAGTTGATACATTTATAATTTTCAAGAGTTAAATGGATAAATAAGTAATATTATAATTAGATCTATTGTTGTCTGGGTGGTGGCGCTAATAAAAGAAAAACAAATGTGTGTCACTCTTTTACGTAATTAAAATTTATAATAAGTTTGATAATAATATTAATGATTTAAAGAAGGATATTTAAATATGTATTCCTAAAAGGGCTAATGTCATAAAAACCCTCAAGTTTTCAGGGTTTTGTCGGTTTTGCCCAAAGTTGAATTTTA